GTACTTGAGAGGTAGATAAGGAATAGATGAGGGAAGGGATGACATAAAAGATACCTTGATTAAATGGAGAGCAGTGATAGATAATAAAATATATATTACATCATTTAATTAGCCCGTTTCTAAGTGTCTTACCTGTATTATCACATTTGTTCTCAATAATAATCCTATCAGATGAGTACTGTTTTTCTCATTGATGAAAAATTTGAGGTCCACAGAGGTCAAAAGAGTTAGGCCAAGATTACACCTTTGGTAAATGGAGTAGGAATTCTGCCAGTCTGCATTGGCTGCATAGCAGTATAAGATCATGTAATTGAGTTCTTCCTTAGAACCTGAAGGGATTGCTATAGTTCAACAGTTCTAAATTCTGTAGGTTGAGAGAGTTTAGTAAATTTTGAATACTGGAACTTGTCTTAATTCATGTTAAGGTTCTATTCTACAGGATTACAATTTGTACAAATATTGTCTATCCTTTATGTATCTAAATGTTTCTTATCAAAAAATGATGGTTTGAATTTATATTGCTCTAGATAAGGGGCATCCAGTCTTTTGGCTCCCTGGGCCAAATTGGAAGAATAGTCTTGGGCCACACATAAAATACACTAACAATAGCTGATGTTCTTTAAAAAAAGACAAAAAAAAATCTGAATGTTTTACGAAAGCTTACAGATTTGTGTTCTGACATATTCGAAGCTGTTCCTGGGCCTCACGTGGCCCATGGCCTGCAGTTTGGACAGGCGGACAGGCTTGCTTTAGATGAAGAGGAAATGGGTTAAATGATTTCCACAAAATACCACTAGTTACTTCTGGTTGGTAAGAGGATACTTTAAACGTAGATATTTCCATTTATTTCCAATTGAATGAATGTTTAGTTCTCTTTAAAGTTTCAGTTTTTGGATTTATTCAAAGATTTTTGGTGTTCATATATTTATAAAATAACTTAGTAGTATATGAGATAGTTGTTTTAAAATACTAAACAGCCTATCTAGGCTGTACTTACTTATCTTTTGGAATTTTACTTTAGCACACTTGAAGAGCCCCAAGTAAAAAGGCAAACATTAAACTTATTTAGGTTATCAGTGTTCTGCTACAGCTTTGCAGCAAGAGTGGTTTTGTTTTTGTTTTTTTTTTAACCACCAGATTTAGGAGTTAATATTTTTTTCAGGTGGTTTTTTTGTAATACTAGGCAAAAGATAGGTCCAGTTGTTTGCGATTTATTCTCGCAGGAAAAACTATGAAGTAAACAAGTAAAATTATGAAGGAAAGAACTTGTGAGGTCCTTGTGTGAAGTTCTTTACTTTTGAAGTGCTTTTTTTTCATATCATGGTAAAATTGGACCAATTTAGTTTATACTTTGTAAAATTTGCTGTAGTGTTAATACTGCTGGCATTACTACTGCTTTTTATTTTCATTTTTTAAAATATGTAGAGTGATAAATGAAATATGTTTGTTTATATATAACATTAGAAAGTTTCTGGGATGCTAAGAATGACTGAATAGGTTGTGTTGTGCTCCCTAGATTTTTGCTCATTTATTTGTTACTTTCCTCAAACTGATGATTCTTCTGAGAACACCTTGATAATTCATCTTAATGATTTATAATGAAATATACATGTGGTTGGCCACTTATGAATTATATCAAATATTATATATCAGCTACATTTTTTAAAGGTGCCAAAGTGTTCAAAATATTCAAATGTTTAACATTTTAGGAAATCTTAGTTTGTGTCTCAAACAACTAAAAATTCTTAATTACCGCACTTTTACACATTTGCCAAAGTAGTTTAAATGTTAATTTGTAAAGCAGTACATGATTTTGATTTTACAGTATGCTTCACATTAAGTAAATATGAACTACCACTTTGTAGCCTTAAGAATGATGTGGCATATGGAATTTGTTGTGGCATTATTATAGCAACTAAGTTAAGAGTTTTTCCCGTTTATCATTTTGAAGCAAAATCTCATCTTCATTTAAGTGGTGAGATGGTGAGACCCTGTATTTCAGTCGTGGGCCACATAGTGACGTGTTGGTAAATAACAGACCACATATGCAATGGTGTTCCTGTTAGATCATATAATATCTTATTTTTACTGTATTTTTTCTATGTCTGGATATGCAAACACTTACCATTGTGTTACAGTTGCCTACAGTATTCAGTGCAGTAACATGTTATAAAGGTTTGTAGCCGAGGAGCAGTAAGGCTATGCCATAATAGTCTAGATGTGTAGTAGGCTATAACCATCCAGGTTTGCGTAAGTGCATTCTATGATACACAATGATATCTCCGGACGACACAATTCTCAGAACATACAGTCATTAAATGACACATGACTGTATTTTATGTGCCCCTAAGACAGTGAAAAAAAAAAACCTAAATGGAAAATCTGAAACACTCAACAGATAAAGCTGAGACACCAAAGGACTATACCCTCTATGTGAAAAAAGTATACCTACCAGGCCAGAAGAGAGAGCAGTAAAACTTGAATGTTTCAACTCTTGTTATTGGGATGAGGGTGGGAAAAATCACTTAAGTATTTGAACCATAGCCAATTCTCCTAAGTTTGCATCCTGTATTCCCGTTAACAGTAAGTGTTAAAAGACTAGATAGCTTAGAGACTTTTAATGATCTCTGATTGATGGTGCTGCCAAAGTGACTGGCATAAATCAACACAAATTCTTTGAAAGATTCAGCTTCAAAGAAAGAAATCGTAAAACATGTCTCTGTTATGTGCATCCTAGAATTAATAGAAAATAGGAGTCATAACATTGCCACAAAGTAGATTTTTTAGACTTTGAAAAACAGCCTTTTCTGGGATGCTCAGTCCTGTAAAGGAACTTTAAATTTCTCCAATTCTTAACAACAGTTTTTCATACAAAATGCAGTATTTTGCATATTTTTGGTTTTGTTATTTGGTTTTATGTAAACATCACAGTTTTGATTTAAATTATATTGATGATCTGTTTACTTTCAGGATATTCAGTTGTATTTAATTTAGTACTTGCGGATTAGTTTGTCAGATAAAACAAGATTAACTAGTCTTCACCTCCAGAATTTACAGAGATCTCTGAGGGAGAATGTAGCTTTTTATTTGACATTAAATCTCACTCTGTAATCAATACCATGATTTCCAGTCTAAAGGAGTATTTTTGAGGTGTTTAACAATTTTAGGTATGGGAAGAAGGACAGTTAAAGAGAGAACTCTGTCAAACTCTGTATGTTCTTTAGTCATTTTCAAATATTGCCTGCTGTAAGTCTCATTGGCCTGGTCTAGTAAACTCTTACATGTTGGGTTTTTTTGTTTGTTTGGTTGGTTTTTTTTGTGGCTTTGTTTTTAAATAAGATTTTATCTTTATATATGTTATAAAGTCAGGATATTTCAATTTGAAATTATATTTATTTGTACAATCTGTTGCTACCATGCAGGAGAACCTAAATATTCTATTGCATTATGCAGATTTTACTGTACTTTTAAAAATACCTTTAATTCTTAGAGAAGTTACTTTGATTGGTTTTTCTCTTAAGTTTTCAAACTTTGATCTCTCAATTTAGCTTAGAATTCTAGTTTTGGATATGTTACTAGCTTTTGATTTTATATGTAGGTCATTTAAAGTAGCAGCTGTTTCTCTCATGCATCTTGGTTGCTTTCCCACACAACCAATTACCTGATTCTGCATATTTTACATTGGCCTAAAGCAAAATTAATTGTAAGGTTGTATCTGTTGGCAGGAGATGTATGGGCTGGGAGTAAGCTTACTTATAGTTCTTTCTCATTTCATTGTTATATTTTTTTCTCCTTACTTTGTAAATTATTTCTCTGATTCTGTTAGTCTGGATGATAGAGGCTTGCCAGTGCTTCTGTTTTCAAATTCTATGCCTTAATAAAATATACATTATTTGGACCATGTTGCAAGTCAGCCACCACATTCTTACAGTAACAATTTCTGTCAAAAAGTTCTTGTTTAATGATGTTTAGGCAGTTTATTGGTTGTTTTTAATCTGTTAACTCCATGGTACTTCATTTTAATAGGTACTTTAGCCTTGTTTAGCCTCATGGTTGCTTTCACAAGGAATTCAATTCAGTGTGTGAATGTTCTTACATACCTTCAGAAGGCTTGAATCTCTGTGTTCCTACTGACTGTATGCTTATTCTTTTCTGTTGTTTTATTTCTCAAAATGTTCATTTACTTTGAAATTGTTTAATAACTGGTTACCTTGTTTCATTACCTGTGATTATTGTGTGTAATTTTTGTCCCCTCCTGAATTTCCTTAGATCTTTTTAATGGTCATTAAAATCAAAATTGTAACATGGGATTATACTAATATAGATGAGCATTGGGTCAAATTCTTAAGAAGCTTGTCTTAATATTCAGGATTTATATTCAAACTTAGTAGAATTAATTCATGGATTTGAATGGCAGTTCTTGGTGAAGTAGTTTGAGCTACCGGACTAATATCTTCAAATATTTTTGTATGTGCCTTAAGTTTTCTGTACAAAAAAGGGTAGATGATTTGTGATTTTAAAAGGTTGGTTTTTTTTTTTTTAATGTATTTTTTAAAACCACTGTTTGGATATTAAGCACCTTTGATCTGGGATTTTGAAATGTGCCACATTGCAAAATTTATTCAATACGTATATGAAAAATCAAAGGTGAAAAATGCTGAAAATATTTTATCTTAAATTCTCTTGCTCCAAAGAAGTGAGAAAAATATGAATGTTGTGTTACAACTACATTAATATTTTTTTAAATTCAGGCCAGAAAAAAACCTAATAGTCCAAAGTTTTAAATTGACTTGTTAAAATAATTTTGATCATATGTATAAACGGTGACATAAATATTAAAATAGATAATTGATAAAGTACTTCATTCATTCAACAAGCACTTACTAAGCATACTATTCACATGGTATAGTGTTGAGTGGTTTTTAATCTTAAGTTATGGGATTCTTAAAGTCGTATTAAGTGCTTGGTCTTATAGTAACCTTTTTTTGCTTTTATTTTAGATGCCTGGAATGATGTCGTCCGTAATGCCTGGAATGATGATGTCTCATATGTCTCAGGCTTCCATGCAGCCTGCCTTACCGGTAATCTTGTGAAAATAACTATTTTCTGTGAAGTAATGTTTTGATTGATTGCTTTTATCTATGGAATAATAATATCTATGTATTTTATAGGCAATCATGTTAGCTATTGAAGTGCCTCTGTAGTACTGTAATAAAGTATGAGAATTACTGTGAGCTTTCAGTTTTAGTTTCTTTTTTTTTTCCTTTAATCCATCTTGGGTTATTTTCTTTGTTTTTTTGTTTGTTTGTTTGTTTGTTTGAGACAGTCTTGCTCTATGCTCTGTCACCCAGTCTGAAATGCAGTGAGTGGCCTGATAACAGCTCACTATAGCCCAACCTCCTGGGCTGAAGCAATACTCCCACCCCAGCCTTCTGAGTAGCTGAGACCACAGACACATGCCACTATGCCAAGCTAATTTTTTAAAATTTTTTGTAGAGCTGAGGTCTCCCTATGTTGCCCAGGCTGGTCTCAAACTTCTGGGCTCAAATGATCCTCCTGGCTCGGCCTCCCACAGTGTTGGAATTACAGGCCTGAGCCCCTGTGCTTGTCCTGGATTTAGTTTATGTAACTTGAATGATAGGCATTTACATTTTCCCCTATATTGACATTATACTGTATGTACATCCTTATTTATTAGACTAATTCTCTATTAAGCAAGACCAGAATACTGAAAAGTATACATTGTGAGCCAGAAACTTTATTGGTCTGATAACATTTAAGTTTTAAATGGTAAATATTTGCCTCACTGAGTGTTAATTAAAAATTGATAGAATAAGATTTAATAATACTAGATTTAGAAATCAGGATTTAATTGGAAATCTAATTCTGAGACTTCAGCTGTGGCAAATTAATTAGAAAATCTTTTGAACAGCCTTACCACCTCTGTTGGGTAGTATAGCCATATAAATTGTTACGAAATAAAAGTTAGTTTAACTTCTTTATTTTTTATTTATCTTTACCTGATACCCTAGTGGTTGTAATGAACAGATGTGGCATACTCCATTGGGGTGGTAAGTTTGCAGATGTCTCACCCAAAACCCTAAAACAGATACATTTCAAGAATTCTTTGTAATACTGGGGAGTAACTCCTTGCATATAATATGTAAACATTTCCTGTGGGGTCCAGGGCAGTGCCATCTAATTTCTAGTGTTAGTATTATTAAAGCAAAACTTAATGGATATTCACTGAAGTTGGGATAAATGAAGGTTGTGGAGTTTCATGTTCATTTAGGGCAGGTTTTGCCACTGTAGTGAGTTTTGGTACCATATTTGAAAAAAGTTGGTTTTCAGAGTGTTTTGGTTTCCAGATTGTGGTTAAAGGGTTGAGTACTTGTGTACACTTGGTGACTATATAACATTTAAACTGCTTCCATAGCCCCCGGTTGCCAATCTCTTTTACAATTTATAGCATGCTTGGGGAACTGAGACTAGTAAAAGTTTTACTAAGAATCTTTGAATTAGAGGTTTGAGGATTATACATAGCAAGTACTGATTTCAATGTGCTTTATGAGGAATTTATATAAAATACTTTTTTAAAAGATGAATAATACTAATTTCATTTTTCTCTTACAGCCAGGAGTAAATAGTATGGATGTAGCAGCAGGTATGTATACTATGTATAGTGGTATGTATTAGACCTCATACTTAATGGTAGTCCTGTCAACACGGCAGGTGCTCAGAGAGTATATATTAAATGAATGAACTCTGGTTGAGTTCATATTTGTACTTAGCAAACAGAATGATGTAGTGGCTCTATACTTCAGGTGTTTAGTATGAGCCCTTCTTGGCCTTCTGGACTACTTCAGAGTTACTTTCTTTTCACCTGCTTGGCCCTTGTATTAATAGTCATTGGAATAAATATCAGTTCCCAATAATTGGCCATTTTGACGAGTGAAACTTTAATATATAATAGTAATGCCTCCAGTATTCATGAACACATAGTTTTCCACATAAATTAATATTCCACATGCTGAACTTCATCCCACGATTATGACAAGATTTTTGTTTGTTTTAAACCCTACTGGTTGAAAGTTGTTTAAAATATACTGTGTGCTTTTCTGCGGGTTCAAATGAGACTTAATCTTAAGACGTTTCACAGATTTCGTTATTTATTTAAACTAAAATATTCTGAAATACCTAGTACAATTATTTTATTTTATTTAGATATCTAGAGCTGAGTACTGTTACCCTCAGCAATCCTGGAAAATTAGATTAACTTTTATTAGTTACTCTTAAGATGCGTTGGCCCTATAATTACCTTCTATAGTAGCTTGAGTATGGTAGATTCTTCTATAGTAGCTTCTTTTTTCAGTATATATGAACTTTGTTTTGTTTTACATACAATCTCCATCTTCTTTTTATTTGTACATTTAAATTACTAGCTTCTAAAGTTCAAGATGATTATTATGAGCTTTGTGACTAACATGCATTTCAGAATCCCTTAAGGATTTTCCTGTAATAGCATAGGACAGTACCATCTAATAGAACTTTCTGCAGTGATGGAAATGTTCTGTAATCGGTACTGCTAAATACAGTAGCCACTAGACATATGCAATTATTGAGTATTTGAAATGTGGCTGGTGCAATTGAAGAACTGAATTTTTTAAGCTTTATTTAATCTTAATTTAAATTTTAATTTAAACCTTATTTTAAATTTAATTTAAAGGAATAGCTGGTGTCTGATTTGTACAGCACAATTCTGGAATTTAGATAAACTTACCAGGAATCTAAAGCTATAGAATCAGTGGTGAGAGGCATTATTAGTGCTTTAGTAATACACTTAGTAGAGAACAAGGAATAAGCAAGATAGATACCTATTATAGTTTAAAAAAAAAAGAGAGAGAGAGAGAAAAGGCAAAGTTGAATACTTTTCAGACTGCCTCCAGGTGGGTTTGTAGAAAGTTCAAACTCTGAAAATGTTTTGCACTATAGATGTTTATTTTCTGGAAAAGATAGCAAGCATATAGGTCATATGAGACAGTCAAGACAGTCTCAAAATCTTTGGTTAGAGAGGAGGAGGAAGTACTATGAATATATGAATAAATATTAAAACTATTATGAATGAGAGCATGATTTGTCACAGTATAAATATGTTGCCTGTTTTTTATTTTTTAGGTACAGCATCTGGTGCAGTAAGTACTCTTTAAACCTTTGCAGTATTTTAATTTCATACTTTAAACCTACTTTACTGGACAGACAGCTAAATCTTTACATTAACCCATAGTTTTCCCTTTTTTTCTATTCCAAGGATTGAAAGATTGATTTATTTTAAAATCTAGTTTTGGTGGGACTTAATGAGAGATGAGAATCATATGTATCAACTTTTAAAAGGATTTAAATTCTTCCCTCCCAGTTAGAAGGGAAGCAGAACTTGTTGGTGTACAGTACTTACCTAGTAATTACAAGTTAAGCGTTACATTAGAAGGTAATCTTTTCTCTTTTTGAAACAGTGTCTCTGTCACTAAGACTGGAGTGGAGTGGTACCATCTCAGCTCACTGCAACCTCCACCTCCTCAGGTGATCCTCCTGTCTCAGCCTCCTAAGTAGCTGGGACTACAGGTGCCCCCACCACACCTGGCTAATTTTTGTATTTTTTTAGAGATAGGGTTTCACCATGTTGCCCAGTATGGTCTTTAACTCCTGTCCTCAAGTAATCCGCCCACCTCCGGCCTCCAAAGTGCTAGGATTACAGATGTGAGCCATCAGGCCTGGCCCATTTGATATTATTCTACTATAAGTACCTGCTTTTATTTTTGAAAAAGCATAACCTAATGGGTTTTTTTGTTTGTTTGTTTGTTTTGCTTATTTAAATAATGCAGGCTTATTGGGAGTTAAACAAGGCAGACATAAGAAGAAAGTAAAATTCATCCTTAATTTTTTGACCATGAGGGAACCACCACCATTAATATCTAAGGAACTTTTTGTATGCTTATTTGTTAAATACACTTTTGTATTTTGTTTTTCTTGTTTAAAAGTTTATTGTGAAAATCTGTGTAAGTTTCTTAATGTAGATGTAATTTTTTAAATGACTTTGTAAAGTATTATTTGGCATACAGACACATTAAACCATTCACTTATTAATGGAAATTCAGTTTATATCTAGGATCCACTCCCAATTATGACCCCTCTTTTTTTTTTTTTTTTTTGCACCTAAGAAAGATTCCAGAAATAATGTTTTTGGGTTGGCAAGTATGTAACTGGTCATGTCGTTTTTCAAGAATATAAAAAGACATATCTAATAATGGTGCAGTACCACATCTTTCTCTTCAAGAATCTCTGGCAGCAATAACCGGTATCACTCATTTGAATTTTGTAAGTGGACATGGCTTTAAAGTGATAGTTCTTCTTTGTCTCTTAATGAGATTGAACATTTTATTTGGTATTTGGCTTTCTCTTCTGTTAGCCTATCCCCGTCCTTTCCTGTTTTTAGGTTGGGTTATTTTTATTTTTTTCTTGCAAATTTTATTTTGAGTTTGTCAAATGTTATTGGTGCTAACCCTTTAATAATCATGAATTTCAAGTATTTTTCTTTGTGATTGGTCTATTGATTTTTCTTTTGATGATGCTTGCCACACAACCTTTTAGTATGTTAATCTGCTAATTACATAGTTTATCTTTTAGTTTATGAGTTTATTGAAATTTTTACAAAAGTTTCCTCATTCTTATATTTTCCTTTTTTTTTTTTTAACCTTTTTTTAATCAAGTGTTTGATTCATCTGAAATATCTATAAGATGAATAGCCAGTCGTGTCAGCTATCAAACCATTTTTTCTGACTTTAATTGAAAGCTCTTTATTGTCTAAGATATCTTAAATTCTCACATATTCTGGCATTTATATCTGTGTTTCCTTTTCCACTGTTTATTTCTATTTGTGTATTTCTAAACCAGTATTAATACTTTTCCTGGCCAGGCGCATTGGCTCACGCCTGTAATCCTAACACTTTAGGAGGCCAAGGTGGGAGGATTTTTTGAGCCCAGGAGTTTGAGACCGTCCTGGGTAACATGGTGAAACCCCATCTCTACAAAAATACAAAAAGTAGCCGGATGTCACAGCACACACTTGTAGTCCCAGCTCTTTGGGAGGCTGAGGTGGGAGAATTGCTTGAGCCTGGGAAGGTTGAGGCTGCAGTGAACCAAGATCACGCCACCACCGCACATTAGCCTGGATGACTGAGTGAGACTGCCTCTCAAAAAAAAAAAAA